AACCAGTTCCGAACGCTAGATTGGGTATATGGCGACCATCGTTTAACTTGGTCGATCCAATGGGCATAGTTATTTGCTACGGGTGAGAGCTATTCCTGCGAAGGGGTCGAGTCCAAGGTAGGATCCACGCGGCTCAAATGAATCGACAGCTGTCGGAATGGATCGACCATATGTTGTCGTGCACCTCCCTACAGACAGCGATAATGAAAATTACTCTTACTACTCATTTAGATATGGAGAAGTGGTAGGACAGCCGAATAATGATAAGATGATTAGGGGAGTTCGTTGGGGACTGAGAAGTTTATGCAAACCTCGATACTACAGCGTTCATAAGGCAAACACGTTGTTCTCACATGATTCAGTAGAATATCTCCATCAGGGCCGAGTATGTTTGTTTCTTATTGTAGCCGAGTATGTGGAGGCAACGTGACAATTGCACCATCCAATGGCTTTGCATGCTCCGAAAGTCCAATGAACAGGAATAAAGAAACTGACTCTGGTTCACGCTTGTTGATAGTAAAGGGTGTATTAGCGAAACCAACTGTGCAAGGCAGTAAGAACATGAAAATCTATCAGACAATCTGGATTCGTGCCAATCAGAAAGATTACAGAGCCGAGGGTAGCGCCCAAGCAAGCAGTGTCAGGCGCAGGCCAGGCGCAGACCATAAAAGAGGTGGGTGGATGCGGTGGTGGTTGGGACCAAGTGCCTCTGCATACCGACCTGAACTCGACACCAACAACCTTTCCTCCCTGCCGCACTCGTCCTTTCTCTTTTTTCCACTCCCTTTTCGCTACATCCCACCACAATCCTCTCCTGTTGATCCTACTCGTCTCAAAGCGGTCATGTACGGGCCGCACAGCCGACTCCTCTTGCTTACAATTGCTCTACTGCTCGAAGAAACTTTTCTTATCCTCCTACCATACTCTCAGGCTGACCCCAGAAAGGATCTGGGGCACGGCAGCTGCGCCCCATATGACGTTGAACGTCGGAAACGTCCACTGTGGTTGAGTGGTGCGCTGGCCTCGCCCATCTTGGAGGCCCAAAAATGGTCG